AATAACTTCACTTCAATACCGTCCAATACACCGCTGCAACACACAGCACGCACGCCATAGTGCACAACCTACACAGTAATATAGATTACACTAGTAATATAGATAGGCCTACACTCTATATTAGTTACTGTGTAGGTTGTGCACAATGGCGTGCGTGCTGTGTGTTGCAGCGGTGTATTGGACGGTATTGAAGTGAAGTTATTAGGTCAACTCAAACATTAAGACTATTACTGGTACTGGTAGTGGTAGGTCTAGTACTGACAAGTTGTATTTATTAACCATCATTTTATTATTGAAACGGTCAAAGTGCCTGTGTGTGGCCCATAGCCGTGCGTATTAATAGCCTACGAGCGACAGCGCGCGCATATATCTGGTAATTAATTAAACTAATCGTGGTTCAATAAACTCAAAATTCACAGAAATTATAGCTAAGACATGTGTCTATAATAGCTAGAATTTCTAGAAATGCAACTCAACTGGTTCGCGATATATCAGAGGAAGTACACTTTCCTAACGTCCGTTCGTCTGTTTATTGCCCTAGAAAACACTGCGTCAGACTGCGACAATCATCTTGCCAATATGGAGGCAGGAAATCCCATCTGGTGATGACGTCAGGCCTATCTAGTTGTTATATGATATCTATGTTTCTATGTTTCTATGACATCTCTGATATCTATGTCCGGTGTCTGTGGAAACTGTGGCAACTGTACGTGGGCTATAGTTACTAGAGCTATGCTAGTTTAAACATAGATACAATAATGTAACCCAACAACAGTAGGGTTACAACGTGAGCCTATTCTTTTCTTTGAAGGAGCCCCTGAGTGATTCACTCAGGGCGGTTTTATGATGCGTTTTCCGAGGATAGAACTTCCAAACTGGGTTTATTCTAAACACGAACCTTTAGCTGCGTTCACACGAGATACACGGCCTCGCTGGTTCCGTACTTATCTGGTGCTGAATTCGGCTGAAATACCGTGCTAAGACAACCCGGAGCATTTACACGAGAATCAAGGCTTAATTAGCTGGCTAGGTATAATATAGCCCGACCAGGCTGTGCGACGGATTGTCTATACAGCCTGACACTCTTCCATACAAAAAACCTATCACCTCTGCAGATCTAGATGAATAACTCTGTATATCTCAAATAAAACTATTCTATTACCACCTTTGACTTGCCTTGTTTGAAATATGAACGTTAAACACAGTTGTCCTGCTTCTAAACTAGAATGTATCTCTTAATTCACGGTGTAATCTGCTAATTCTCACATCATATCAACTTTCCAATCAGCTTTACCCGCCATGTTTACACTGCGCATGAGTCAATGGAAGAGACACGGAAAACCCGAAACGGAAAAGACTCGCTAGAAAATACTACAGAAAGAGTACAATACAGTAAAAACCCGCGTATAAGAACATAGATTTTAAGAACATGTTAGGCTAAAATTTCCCATTTAGACCCCTTTACATAAGAACCTGTTTTAGGCTAAGATTTTAAAGTAGGTTCTTAATTTTCCATGCAGATGAAGACTTAAAAAGAAACACAGGAAAAAAAAAAAAAGGAGCTCAACAATATCG